CACGATTCAATCAATTGGAAGATTGCTGTGATACGTAAAGGAACGGAGACCTACAAAGTCCGTGTGGTAGGGGAGTAAGCGTGATGTTAGAGGAAGGTCGTTCAAATTTAGAAGATGCAAGCAAAAAGTCTTCAGATAAGAAACTTACAAGAAATGCGTAGTTGTTTGTTTCATCCAACGGTGAGTGCAATGGTAACACAGCTGGACCAATGTATTCAGAGAAAGTGAAGAGATCTTCTTTGATGATTCTGGCATCAAGTCCCCCACAATGGCAGCGGGGCGGTTGTTGGAGAAAACTTAGAAGTTCTTCCCAGAAGGTTTGCGACTTAGATCTTGGAAGATTTTGTTGAAGGCCGCAGATTTGTCTCTTGGAGCAAAGCATGCTCTTTTTGATGGCGAATTCCGCCAGAACCTGACACCTGCCGAACCCTTTCAGTGACTCGATGTTCCAAGAAGCAAGGTTTGGGGTGGCGAACCTATAGTAGGTGAAGGCGTGAACGCGTACGCTCTGCGGAGTTGATCAGGACTGTAGTTGTCCTTTTCAGAGGCTGCCAGGGGTGGGTTAGGGTAATTTCCCACTCTCCAGTACGGAGGAAAATCAGCTACGGTATTTCCGGCATGACTGACGGTCGTTTCTGAGTTGATGTTGCCTGTGACGCGCTTCTAGCGACCGGCGATTGTCATGAATCTGCTTGACTTCTGACGCACTGCAAGATTCGAGCCACTATGATCTAAATTTTTATAGATTGTCCAAGCAATGAAATGCAAAGAAATTTTAGAGAAATCGAGATTGGGAGTTGTGGCCTTCTGGCTTGCCGCTGACAGATCTCGCGGTGTGTATGTGTTTGTTGTCGAAATCACTTGGTAGTATCACCTCTTCTTTCAAACCAAAGGCAAACCCGTAAAAAGGACCCTCAATTTCTGACGGAGCCGGCTAAGGTGGACTAAAAGTCCTTGATGGCAAGAAAAAAGGCAGTGCCCGTCGCTCAAGGAGTCGTTGCTGTGAGGCTCTAGTGTGGAGAATTTTGCCATCTTAGGGCCACGAGGCCGCGTTAATGTCATTCATGGTCCGTTGGACCCCATAATATCATTCTGAGGCACTGCGCCTTTGTACTTTCATTCAATGCAAGTTGGTAAGTTGAGCGGAGGTCCTTTTTGAAGGCCGTTTAGGGTGTTGACCCAGGTTGACCAAGCTTGCATGTGAATGCAAGTGCATACGTGCGAAAAAAAACAAAAACGCATTGGCGAAAGGGTGTTTCAGGTGAGGACCAATGGTTTTTCAATTTCGAGAGTTCTGCAGCTCTGCCGGAGCCGGTGGAATTAACACATTATGTAGCAAGGCGGTTTAAACGAGTGTTTTGCGTGCTGACTAATGATATTGTGGAAGAGCTGTGTGACATGATCCCAAATGTACCTCAATGGTTGGCTGCAGAGCGTGGTTTGGAATATCACTTGGCAGTTCTGCTTCCAGAAGCATTTGCGGTTTGCAGCATGGAGAATCTTCTTGAGTTTTTGGTCGTGCCTTCACCCAGAAGCCGTGGGTGCTGGTGGAGTCCGCCGAAGTGGATGCAAGATATGTTTAATCTGGATTTGTGCCAGGCCTTTGAGGCAACTCGTCGTCCAATCCCGGCTAATCTTACTGCTTTTTCTATGACCTCGTGCAACATGCTGGCAGATGATTTGCGTTCTGTGTTGCTACAAGGGTTGGCTGGTAACGAAGACAAGCTTTTCCGCTGGATTTGTGGACTTCAGGAAAGTGATGATGCATTGTTTGCTTCTTGGGGTTCCGACAAATTGGCAGTTGCGTCCCAAATGATTGAACTCGTGAGGCTCGCAGACAAGTTACGAGACACAGGAAATCTGTCGGCCGTCATGCGCAAAGCGTTGGAGGTCGCGCTTCCCTCCGAATTGCGAGACATGTGCCCTGTTTTATTGCGTGGGGTGCAGAAACTAAGCAAGAGTCAAATCAGCAGAGCTCGCTTGACATTGGATGTCGGCTTCATGCTGCACAAACGTGTTGAAAACTGGTTGAATCCCGACAAAGTAAGATTCCTTATGTGGGACTCGTCGCCTCAGTTTGGTAGAGACTATCAAATGGCTTTGGTGCAAGAAGTTAAGAAGGATGACCTGCCTGTTGCATTGCGCAGTCTGCTGCGAATGGAAACCTTGTTTGTCGGAGATGCTCCGGACTTCGGTGACGATGAAGCTTTTGTGCAGACAAGAGCAGACATGGACATTTTGCGCAAAATCATTTGTCTTCATGCAGTACCTTCTGTCTTGATAGGCTTTGGTGCAGCAAGTTTTTCTCACAAGCTGTGGTCTTTGCTTCATGCAATTCGTCTTGAAACTTTCTCGGAGAGCGAGTTGCGAGACTGGGCCTGCAGTGTGTTGACTGTGGCAGCGGATTATGGCGTGGAGCGGCTTCTTGTAAATCTTGAGTCTGTCCATGCCCAAGATGTTGTGGGTTGGTTTGAGGACACATCTGGTATAGATAAGACTTTGCTAGCAGCTGGGCCAGCAGGTGATGCAGGCCCGGCGAGGCAAGGGAATCGAAATGAGCGTGTCGATGCTAATCCAGTCTTTGAGGATCCAGATGTTGCAGGTGCAGCTGCCGTTTTGAATCATGAACCTGATGATGCCTTCGAAGAGTTGCCTCCTCCCGTAGACATCAAGTTCCCTCGTCTTCTGGGTATTCCTGGTCTGCACCATATCATCGACAATGCTACGAAAGGGTTTGGAGATGTTCTTCACAAGTATAAAGACTACGTGTTCTTGGCACAGCAAGTCTGTAAGCTGCTGCGGCGGAGGGACACTCGCCCCAAACTGCTACAGAGATGCTTTTCGCACGGCATCGGCCAGCAACTTGCACAGGATATCGCTTCCTTTCAGGGTTGGATACATACTGCTAGGTGGGCACAGTGGCTTTCTCCATTCCCGAAATCCTCAAAGTGAAGCAGGCATTGACATGGGGCTGGAATGAGGAAATCTTTCTTCGAGGTGAGGAGGATGCTGGAGAGGAAAGCCGTCAGGCTTCTGCGGAGCTGGCTCGACAAGTCTCGACGGCCGTGAACGACCCTGTGTGGTGGGCTTGGCTGGCCATGCTAGAGGTGGTTTGTGCGTTGATTCGTCGGCACATCGCATGGGCTGAGTCTTGTCCTTGCCATTGGCACCTGTTGGAAGGTTCTCGGCGAGGCGATTATGACATTCCTCCCAGACTTCTGGAGCTGATTCAAAGCTGCCCCATGCGAGGCAAACGTGCTGCCGAGGTTTCCAGCGGTGATTTTCTCGAAATCATGAAGGATTTGTGGGCTGTCTCTGCCGCCCAAGTGTTGCGTGTTATAGGGCGTGAGATAAACCAGCAAGACAGAACACTCATCATGCAAGAGTTTGATCGTGCACAGACTCATCTCGCTTTCTATTTCACTTTGAAACTGAGCCACCTGCAAGAGATGCCGTGGATGATTTTGCAGCTAGCACACCCTAAGGAGACAGTGGCCCAGATCGCTGCCAATGCAGTTTTGCAATCAACATGTCAGCATCCTCTCGCTGTTGAGTTGCGTAGGGAGCTTCGAGATTCGTGTGAAAGCTGGGTGCAAGGGGAACCTTTGATGACTGTTGATAAGCAAGATCTGCAGCAGTTCGTCGGTGCTCTGGCTTTAGTGCCGACGTCAGAACGGCCCATTGAAGGCCAACATGCAAAGGTACATCGGCATGGTTTGGGGCGACCGAATCACACTGAGCATTTCCAGAGTTATTTCGTGCGTGCACCCGAACTTGTTCAAGCCATCGATTCTGGTACGTTGCCACTTCAGCAATATGCATGGTACTGTCAAGCTGCCAGGAATCACCATAGAGCTTGTATTGCGACGGGTTTGTCAGGCCACCCTTCCCTTCAAGGTAATGGCAGAGTCGTTCGTAAGCGCCAGGATCCCATGCGGTCCAAGGTGATTTACCATGCAGATCCTTTCTCGTTGTATGCAGCCGCTGGCCCGCCCGTGAACATGAAGCCGCCACCGCCGAAAGGACCCACTCGTGATGATGAGCGACATCAAGCTCCGCCGGCTTTGGATGATGCTGGCGTTGACGATCGTGTTCCAGGCGGGGTTGTTGGTGCATGTCAGTGCATAATTTACTATGCGTGGCCAGCTGGCGTTATAGATCAGCACAAATAGTTTCTGACGAAGTTTTCACAGAGTTTGAAGTGAAGCGTGAAACAGACAGACTATCGTGACACGTTGTAACATTGTAGCCGAGCAAACTCGGGATTCGGCCAGGTGACGGAGTCGGGCAGCTCGTGCAACAAGGGCTTGGGCCCAGCATCAGGGACAGTTTCCTTCGGCATTCCAGCTCGCTTCCTTTGTTGAAGAAATATATGCTGCAGTATTTGCGAAACCGGATGCAGCCCGACACTAATGAGCTTTTTTCTGTTCCATGCCGTCCGGGTATTCTGCGAACATTGCAGGATTGCCTGAGGCCACATTCGAGTGCTCACTGTGACATCAGCTTTCCAGCATTTCATGTGGATTTGGAGCCGAGCTCAGCTGCAATTGAATCGGAAGGTGTTGCCGATGCTGCAAGTTTTGGTGAAGCAGTGAGAGCGACCCTATTCTTTCATGTCGTGCGTGGCTCCCCCAATAGCATGGTGCGTGTGACTGTGGATGGTGAGTCGGGTTTTGATGCTGCAGATGTCATCATCGCTCCCCACCGGACATTGCATGTTAATGGTCACAGCAGAGAAGTGATCGTAGATTCCGCAGCTTTGGAGTGGCTGAACCATTCAGAGAAGCAGGTCTTTGTTCTCAGCCTCGTCAGTTTTTCTTGTGAAGAACTGGCAGCCATCTGTAAGTGGAAACGTGCCGAGAAGCTGGATTACGGTTTCTGGGGGGTTGCCGAGGCAGCACAGCTCAAGATTCCAGCTAGTGCCAAGCACGTCCTCCCACAACTGCTCCAGGAACTTCTGCCTTCAACTCCGGAGCAAGGGCTGAAAGTCGATGTTCGAGAGCCTGGCGTGCACGAATGGCGAGCATGCTTGTCTGCCATGACAGATGTGGGTCTGGTGCAAAAGTTGTCGGAGGATGAACGATTTTCCATGTGGTGCCTGACAGAGCAGGGAGTTGCAGGCGTGAAGGTGGGCTCTTTGCTTGAGCAGCCCTCCTATGCCATGGCAATCCGGGATGGCGTGGATTTAGCTGAACGAACAGTTTGGGAGTTGTTGCTTCTCCTGGACCAGGATGGATGGAAACATGCTGTGAAGGACAAAGGCGATCAGGATTGTTATCGTCCTGGATCTGACAAAGTTTGGTACAGCAGACCTGGTGATGATACGATATCCTTCTGGTACCTGCTGTGTCTGGCTCAGGGAAACTCCGAAGTACCACATTTTCAGAGCAGTGGCTTTTATCAAGCCTTGGCAGGTGGCAAAGCCCCGCCCATTCGGCGGCAACGGAAAGCTTGGCAGGCGCTCCGGAACGTGGCTGATGATGACTGGGATGTCCCTGCCGTCGCGGATGCCGTGCCGGCAAAGCGTGCAAGAAGAAAGCGGGCTCCAGTGCACCGTGCCGTTCAAGATGCTCTGGAGGCGGACATGGATCATGCCCCTGTTGACCTGCAAGAGGATGAAGAGGGCCACAGTGACTGTGATGATATCGACCAACAACTTCTGGCTGCTTTTGATGAATTGGATGGTACCTTGAATCCAGGGTCTGTTGCTTCCAACAACAGTGCAACTAGCAATAGCAGCAGCAAATCTTCTGGGTCTTCCTCTAGCAGCTCTAGTAGCGACTCCACCGGTTCCTCTGGGGAAACAGAGGATGCTGATGCTGATGCTCCCGCTGGTGCGGGTGCTCGCGCCGTTAACCCCAAGGCCTCATTCTACTACGGTATGGGGCACGCAGTGCGGGTCTACAAGAAGGGCGTTGCCGTCGGCTGGGAGATGGCGTGTGCACATCCGCTTCACACATCAAAGAAATGCAGGAAAAATTTGAAAGAAGTTACCAGGTCAAGAAGCTCTGCAGAGACTTTGCAGTGTCTGAAGGTATGGATAATCCGCGGCAGACACGTCGCGACGGCTGAAGAGCATATGGCAGAAACCTGGTCGGAATTGCAGAGGGACTTTTCACTGGGGCAGCTTGAGGCTGCCCCGGAAGACCCACCCATGCAGTACACAGGTGCTGATGGGCGGGTGCACACTTTCACCCGTCCGACGAGGTGATTCATGTCCAGTGCGTGAAAAAGCTTAGGCTCTTCTGCTTCTTCTCAAGCCAGTGCGTTCATAAGCTTGCGTGCTTCAGCTGTGCATGTTGCACATTGCACATGTTGCAAACAGCTGAGACTCTTGTGATGCTTTGTCGTGAAGAGTGTGTTGAAGCTGCACATGTTCTGAAACCCCCCGGGGTGGGGGCGGGGGAGGGGTCCGAGGGGTTACGATCAGTTGGGGTGTCCTTGTTCCAACTCCAACGCCGAAGCGGGGGTGTTGGAGTTGATTGTGGAGGGGGGGGAGGGGCAGGGGGGGTGGGTCCGATCAGTTTGGGTGTCCTTGTTCCAGCAACGCCAAAGGAGGGTGTTGGAGTTGATTGTGGAGGGGTGGGGGTGGGAGGTGGGAGGGCACCCGGCAAATGCTCATGATGCTCGTTTCTCGTGCGCCAGAGGTCTCTTTCTTGGGGGCAGGGGTGGTCGGGATGCGGTGAGGGTGCAGGTGCAGGAAGCAGTGGGAGAGTGAGTGCAGAGTGACGGAGTGAGCCTGAGTGAGCGGATGCAGTGTCTGATGTCATGCAGCACATGTCCAGTTGCAGTTTACATGTTGCTGGGTGTCATGCAGTCATGACAGTCATGCAGTGTGTTCATGTGTGTTCATGTTTGTGCCAACACGGCCCCAAAACCCTCAAATCCACCCAAACCCTGCCAAATCCAGCCAGATCCCTGCAAATCCTTTCAAATCCCCCCAAATCACCCCAAAGCCCTTCAAACCCTCCACGACCCACCAACAACCCTCCAAATCCAACCAAATCTCCCCAAATCCACCCAAATGCCACACCCCACAAAACAAACACAAGGTGAGAGGCACATTTGTGCCCAATGAAGCCAATCTGTGTCAGAATGCCAGGAAATGGAGCTGGAACAGCTATTGGGTGGCTCTGAGGGCTGGTTTGGGAGTTGTTGCACTCCTTTGTTAAAGTCCTATTCAACTTTCTACTGAAAACAGCACAAGTATTGAGCCAAGCTGGGTCCCAACCCAGCCTTAGCTGCTAAGCAAGCCCCAAATCCAAGCAAAATCTCCAAACCCCAGTCATTTTGAGAAAAAGCTGTGATAAGGCTTGAAATGGGCGATTTGCCCGAAGTTGCCCGAACTTGCCCGAACTTCAGAGGCCCAAAATCAAGCTTTTTTGCAGTGATTTTAATGGATTTTAGGTGAAAAAAGAGCTTTGCCCGAACTTGCCCGAACCTGCCCGAACCTGCCCGAACCTGCCCGATCCTGCCCGATCCTGGTTGCCATGTCAGCTGTGTTTTCTGCAAATTCAGTGGCATCTCTTGTACTTTGAAGTGTTTTTGTGACTTTCTGAGCATTTGAAGGTGTCTTGCTGGATTTATGGTGGTGTTGTTCTGTTTTGGTGTATTTTGTGTTTTTTTTTTGCTTTGGCAAGCATTTCAGAGTGTTTTAGCTGTTTGTGAGGTGTTTAGCAGGTTTATGTATGTTTCTGAGCGTTTTTGTGTGTCTTTGTATGTTCTGTTGGCATTTGAGTGTTTCCAAGTTGTTTTGTGTGCCATTTGCGTGTGTTTCTGTTGTTTTGGTGATTTGTGGCTGTTTCGATTGCATGTCTTGCCATGAACTGTCCTGCATGCATGTTCTCATGTCAGTGGATGCAGAATGTGTTCAGTGTCGAAGCAACATCTTCCAAACTCTTGAACAGCAGCCAAGACAAGCAGCAGAAAATCAGCACCATCACTTTCAACCACAAACACCAAGACCGTGACACCAGGCAGCACCAGCACCACACCGGCGCCACACTGGCACCACACCGGCACCACACCGGCACCACACCGGCACCCCCGGCACCGCACCAGCACCACACAGGCACAACACCGGCACCCGGCACCGCACCTCCGCCACCTCTGGCACCTTGGGCAGCAGCAGTGAAGAACACCACAATCTCAAAACTCAACAATTCCCTCCATTGTGTGTGTGTGAGTGAGTGGCAACAGACACTCATGTCAGTCCATGCCAGTCCAGAGTTCAGAACGGTTCGGCCGCAGGTGGAATTATGGGCATGTAGTGAAACACAATCATACCTCAGACCTCAGCAGTCATGTCTTAGCTCAGAAGGGGCCTCCCCACAAAGTGCCACAAAGTGTCATCAAGATTTCAGTGTTGTGCAGCGTAAACACTCACGTTGTGTGTGTGTGTGTGTGGTGTTGTAGGAACCGCGTGGCTGTACAAGTCATGCTGCGGCGTGACAGTAGCTTCCTTGAGAACATGGGGCCTCAGAGTTCAGATGAACTGCTTGGCTGGGCCCAGTCGTATGCCGAGAAGCTTGCTTCTCTTCCTTGCGGGAGGCAGCTGAAGGAGAATCTCAGCGGAGGTTTGTTGCTGTCGACCGATTTTAGTGGTCTTGATGCTCCCAGAGAAAGCCTGCGATGCATGGTGCCAGCGTTGTCTGAAGCTTTTCAGACATCTTTTCCTGAGGTCGTGGTAGCCAGAGCTTGCGACATTGGCAAGCCTCAGCGAGATTGTCTCATGTTGCAAAGTGAGCTGTTTCATGATGGTGCTTCATGTGTTTTTACAGATATTCTGGGCCGTTTGGGAGATTCCGAGCGTGAGTGGCTTCAAGAGGCCGGACCTCTCAAAACCATGGATGTCAGCGAGGCTAGAGCAGCGAACCAAAATGTTGAGCAATTCTTGTGCTCCAACCGGGGCCGCATTTTCTCAGCAAGCCAGAAAAGTTATTGCTGCCAACATAACCAGAACTGTCCAGTACATGCACTGCCTGCTCTTCGAGAGAGGCGGGTCAGGGGGGCCGTCCAGGAAACAGCAGATGATGGCTTCGGCTTCGCTGAGGCCTCAGGTCTTTGTTTCTCGAGCCCTGCCAAAAGAAGGAGACAGAGCCGCCAGACCGTCACCCCCTGGTGGCAGAAGCATATGGATGAGGACCTGTCAGCTCCGGAGCCGATTGCTTGCAGTGTGGCAGGGTTGCTTTGTACCGATTTTACTCCTCTAGGACAGAGGCGTGGCGTCAAAGGGGCAGGGTTAACTGAGCCGCTCCATGCGGTCTGGAAGAACGAACGACAGTGGCTCGCGGAGCAGGGCTTGGAAGATATGTACTTTACCGAAAATTCGGCACACTACCCGGTTCAGGATAAACAAGTTGATGCACTGCTGTCATCGCATGACGTGAAATATGTTACTGTGTCCCCATGCGAGCTCGGCTACCCCGTGCGACGGAGGCGGGTGTTCTCATTCGGGTTTGACAGGTCCAAGTGGCTCTGGATTGGGCCAGATACAGCAGCTGGTGTTCAAGCAGAGTTTGTTGAATTGTTTGGCAAGTCGCTGGTACTGTCAGGCGATGCCTATGTTTTTGCCACAGACACGGAGATTCACGACTTCGTGCAGCAGCGAGCAAAGCGTCGAAAGACGGTGCTGCCGGTCGGCTTCAAGGAGATGCCCATGCGACAATATTTGCACCAGCTCCTGCCTCCAGGGGCCATGGTGCGGTTGGCAAATTATGACAGACTGCAAGCTGAGAGGGCAGGTGTCACAGGCAGCTTCTTTGCAGATTTGGATCACAATGTCGACTGCGGTCCGCGCTGCGGTCCACTGATTCCAGCACTTGACACTCATGCCAACATTTTTTCTTGGCAACATGACCGGCTGCTGCTTGCTCAAGAGTTGCTGCAAGCACAGGGCATCACCATGTGCTCCAGTGGCACGGGACAATCAGTGTCCCCCCTTGCCCAGGTGCTCCTGAAATTCAATGATACTGAGCTGCGTCAGTTTGCTGGGAACTCACTGCGTGTCCCAGCATTTGCTGCGGCGTGGATGATGTATGCTTTTGCTCATGTCATGCCAATTCCTCAGTTGCAGCTGACACTCGAGCTGGAAGCACTCATAGACGAACAGGATGAGGAAGCTGAGTTGTCTGGAACTTTGAAGCCTGGTCGTGTCGATGCCTCAGATGCCCAGTCACCCGCCGAAGAGATGCAAGGTGAGGACTCACACATCGGTCGGCGGCCAATTTTGCGTTTGTAGACCTTCTGCTTTTCCAGAGCAGTCCTGATAGTTGGCTGCATGGTGTCACCTTAGGGCCTTAGGGAGTCTTTACCTATTGAATCCGGCAGGGTGTAAAAATGTTTCAGCAGAGACGGTGCCAAGGCCATCCCGTGCAATCGACATGTTTGGTGTAGGTGTTCTGCTACTCTCGTGGCCAGGACTGATGGTGCTTTTGTGTTGGTGTGCATGATGCTCGTTGATGTTGGGGCAAAGCTTGTTGTGGTTTCTGGCAAGAGGGTGGGTGTGGGTGCGGCAGATGCTCCTTGACATGTTGGCACAATCGTGTGATTGCTGGCTGGCTCTGGAGTGAAATCCGGGGTAGAGGGGCAATCAAAAGTGCGTGGGTTGGCTCGG